ATGCTCAGAGCACGCTCGAGCTGCGCTCAACTCAATTTCCATTTGATTCTCCATTATTGGGGTCCCTATAATCCCTATATAAACCTATATAATCCTTATAGAAACCTATATAAACCTATATTATTGGGGTAATATTGGGTACCATTCGTCTCAGGAGGAGAGAGCTCCTTCGCGCGTCGAAGCGAACCGTAAAGCGCAGGCCCCGCAGTGGCCCCACAAGACTGGAAACAGCATATGAGCTATACTGTAGTCTAAACTCTCAGCATCCCCCTTTATCAGCCCTATCATATGCCCTTATATAAACCCCTACATAACCCCCCTGTCTGGAGTTTAGACGGACTGCATGACTCCCAAACTTGCCGATTCTACTGAGCTCCCTCAGCTGTCTCCCGTTGGATATGGTGCCCTTGAATATGATGCGCCAAGAATCTTCTAGAGCCCCGCCTTTAATTTTCAGTACTGCTATATTAATTCTGTATACGTGCTCGTTGGTTCATTTGTTGAATTCATAATGTGCACATGCTGTATTATTCTGTAATGTATTTACATACATTGCTATGGTCCAGGTGGAGCGCTTGAAGCTGAAGTCTGTGGCACGTGAGGAGCGTCTGGAACAGGCACCTGAGGGAGTGTACAGTAGGTGGTTCAGGGGTTCGAGGTTCAGGGGCAGATGAAGGGCGTCCCGGGGCCAACATCAAGACGTGATTCCTCGATAAAGGCGATCGCCCATTTCAAGACAAGCGCAGGTAACTGCAGATGAACAGATGTCAGTCAAGGAGATCTAGAGGTGCTACATACATCACAAAGGCAAAGGGGCTCACAACTGTCAGATGGATGGTTTGACTTAAGTGTACATCTAATTTATTAGCCGCTCTTCAAGCAGTTGGATTTGGTTTCGCTACCAGCCTTAGTGTCGTCTTCTCTGTGTTTGTGTCATTTCTGTCCCACTTCAGTCTGAACGCCCAGAAGAATCAGTGTTGGATTGCATGACTGTTGCCTATCTTCAATGCTCTTGCAAGGTGCGCCAAAGAAGATGCGAGGACGTCTCACCAGCAGTTGCAGGAACTGCAGCGCTCTGACCTAAAATCTGCTGGCTGCGGCAGGAGCAGAGGCTGAGACAACAGAGCTGCTGGCAAGCTTGCAATCCCTTGGGAATCCCTTGGGTTTAATACTGGGGCTTGGAAATCCCCTGATAATCCTCTATAGATCTCTAGGTTGCTGGGTTGCTGTCAAGGAAAGTGAAATAAGGTGCCGCCAAATTCATATGAATGGATGGCAAACAATGGGTTTCGTGATGACGGTAACTTAGTTCAAGTCCTGAAACAGCAACCCAGTTTGAGTTTGCGCCAGGGAGCTGAGAGAACAGCTCGAGATGAGGAAACGAAACAAGGCCGAGAGCTGGTCTTACAATGAGCAAAGCGCTCCAAAGCAAGAAGGCTGCATGCGGGAATTGTGGGGGTTTGAAGAGATATGTAACAGTAGGTTCAGGGTTTGGAGGAGGCTGAATAGGGTAATTCCCAAGTTCTAATCAGGTAACATCCTTCTGTTTCTTATTTGTACTCTGATAGGTGTATACATATATAGAGATAACACTACCGGTTTGTCGTAAAACCCGTACCAAATGCTTTCTGCTTGCAGTCATGCTTAGTTGGCAAGAGGATGGGTTTTTAGGGCCATCACGAGGATTGCATGAGAACTGCCCTAGGATCCATTTTCCCATACCCAACTTTGCATTGGTAAGTTGTTTGCATTCTTTACAGCCGTTTCTTGAATTACTGGTGGTAGGGAATACGGCTTGAATAAAGGAATCTATGCTCTATCCAATCCTTTTAGGAGAAACGCTGTAATTATGGGTGGCTGGCATCTCTCTACCTGCGCAATCATGCGCAATCCCTGGCTCGCTTGAACTGTCCACTTATTCCCTACTAACTCACAGTACGACTTCTTGCCCATGGCCAGGCAGCGCGGAGGATTCCCTCCAGGAGGAAGGCACTTCTGGGCCGCAGGAGGTGGAGGAACCAGAAGAGGCAAAGGAAGAGACGGTGGACTGGTTCGAGTCATTCAAGGAGGAGGATGAAGAAGAGGAGGAAGAGAAAGAAAAGAAAAGACCGAAGTCTTAGATTTCTTAAAGTTAAAATTGTACATACGCATTCCGGGTCTCACGTCCGCAGATTGCGGAATCGTGGCAAGATGCGGCAGGTGCCCGCGAGCGAAAGATCAGTCAGTAGGCTGATTGCCTAGCAAACTGAAAAGGGGGTTCGATTATGTGGAACGCAGCAGGTCTGAGGTTTGGGTGATGGTAGCCTCAAGGAATTTCGTGTGAGCACGTTCTGCCAATGCGCTTGATGGCCAGCAAGTCTCACAAGACATAGGTGGATTTCAGGCTGGGGCTCTCCGCCTAGACAAGTGCCCCTCCCCGCTCAAGTGCTGAAGGGTACCTTGATTCAACCAAGCCTGAGTTTGAAATCCACGGAATACCAAACACGTCCTAGCACCGGATTATTTAGATGCGAGATGCAAGGCGCTCTGAAGAACGGATTGCCTTCAAAAAAAGTGATTGGATGCAGACCACCGGACCTAATCAACGCTGATAGTTATCGGACTAAGTCCACAGTCCACAGGGCCCATGTTTCAGCATAGCCCTATATGACCTCACATAGCAGCTACATCTTAATACCCTTCCAAAACCTACAGAAGCCCAGGTCGAGATTTACCTGGCCTTGGATCATCCGCACATAGCAAGGCTGAACATGGTCTATGAAGACGACCAGGCCTGGCCTGGCCTGGCCTGTATTAATGGAAAATACAAAGGAAACTACAGGGACACTATAAAGGGTTTATAGGGGGTATATTGGGGTTTTAGATGGGGGATAATGGAAACCACCATGGAAACTACTATAGCATATTGGGGTTATATAGGCATAATGGAAAAGAACATGGAAACTACCACAGTGTTTAGGGATTATGTGGGTAAATGCGGGCATTATAGGGTATTTTGTAGTTTTGCATTTTATTATGTAGGTATTATATAAGGTTATATAGGGTATGTAGGGTTCACCCAGGGAGTCAAAAGGCACCGATCAAGGATTGTCTTGGGAGCAGTAGGAAGAAATGGTGAATGACATGACATGAAAGGGTGTAGCTAGGGTTCAGCCTAAAGGTAGCAACAATCGGCCCAGCAGTTGTAAATTGAGAGGAAGCAGACATTGTTTCCTGTGGACCAGGAGATCCACCTCGTCATGGAGTTCATGTCGGGCGGCGAGCTCTACGAGCGACTTTTTGACGCCAAGGTGTACAGCGAGGATTGGGCAACAGTTTAGGGCTGCTCATAGCCCCTTCTTGCTTGGGTTGTATTTCTACTTGGATGGGAGACCACAGCACAAAAAACGATACCTGTCGAGTCATGTGCAGAAACAAGGGTGCCGTACATGGTGAGCCAAGAGCATGACGCTATGCAAACCTCAGCTGCGGCTGCAATGCAACGACTCACCCTCCCTGCTGCTATTACTATGAGTATTACGATGACAGTTACTATGAGCATTACTATTGCTGTTGAATTGCTATCGCTATTACCATTGCTATTACTATTACTGTTATTATCACTATTATTCTTACTATTACCATTACTATTAATATTGTTATTGCTGTTACTATTACTATTCTTGTTGCTTCCGTCGTTACCTTGCTTCGGCACTTCAGGAGATGGCTGCCAACACCTGCCATCAGATGCTGCTGGCAGCTGCAGGCTCAGTGCAGATTCTGGGCATGAGAAACATGTTGAACTCACTTTGGGGGGTGGGAAATGTTGGAATATGTAAAAGGAATACAGAATAATACAGATAAAGTGTGTATGAGATGTGGTTCGAAGGCGTCAGCAAGGCTCTGCAAAATGGAGCATCTACCTTTCTTCTGCGGGAAGCTGTCCTGAAAGATGTGACACACTTCTGCCTTTGAGGTCTCCTACATGCACTCGCATCAGATTGCCCACCGAGACCTCAAGCTCGAAAACTTCCTGTATGAACGGAAGGACAGGGCAGATGCGACCCTTTCATGCCTTGGCGCGGCAACTTGAAAGCTTTAATTCGACAATTCGTCAGAGTGATTTCAGATGAACTTGCGGAGGAAAACAATCATCTCAAATTGATCGACTTCGGCACCGGTCCCAGGTCCCAATTTTCTATAACAAGTGCTGGCTCGGGACTGACTGGCTGACTGATGTGTGTTCAGAGCAAACGCCGCCCAGGATTTGCCAAGTTCTGGGATCGAAGTACGAAGATGAGTCAGGCAACGGGAGCTTCCTGTATCCAGCTAGCCCGTCTGTCACAGACATGTCCTGTGACGGCCAATTTCCGCCGCAAATCCACTTAAGAACTGACCGTGTATGCGTGGGCAGACTTTGCACAGTGCATTGCCAGGCATGTGGCTCCACTCACTATGTGGCTCCGGAGGCCTGCATGCACGTCGTGCTAGGTGCATGTGCGTAATTGAAATCTCACTAACTGTGGACTCTCAAGGATGTGAGAAGCAAGTCCAACAAATCAAGTTCCCCTGCAGGTGTTGGCCAAGTCCTACACCCTGAAAGCAGACATGTGGTCTCTGGGAGTGATCAGCTTTATGCTTCTCACGGGGTGGGGCACTCAGACTCAGATGTCTCCGGCTGGGACGGAGGGTGTTCCTCACAAGCTTACGAGATGACTCGTCCCATTCGCCTTTTCTGTGAGCGGTAATGCTGGGCCGGAGGAGGGTGGGATTTGGACTGGAATGCATGTTTCTTCTTCGGCATGCTTGTGTGTGACATCACTCGGATGCTGAAACAGATCCTTCCAGACACGACGCTTAACGTCGCCAAGCTGCCCCCAGCGTTTGATCCTGCTGTGAACGCTTAGGAGTCCTCCATTCCAGGGCGGAAACGACAACGAAGTGCTGCGCAAGATCAGGCCAACGCGGGAAGCACACTTGAGATTTGCTCGAAGTCCTGGAGTTCGTGCTGGTTGAGGGTCCGGAGCAGATATGATGTGTTACTACTTAAAGGCTCACGGCACGTCTGGGCATCTAGTTTCACAAGCTTCGCATCGCCAGTTTGAATCCCACGCTAGTAGAAATTACCTGTATTGACAGTGGTAGTATTTGTGATGGCGCTCGTGCTGGCGCTAGTTGTAGCAGCGGCTGCGGAACATTGTTACTGCTAGCTACAGTAGTTTTAGGAACCGGAGTTACCTGACCATTGCAGGGCCGGCAAGGTCCACTGGTCCACGCGATTCAAGCGCCTCTCAGATGGTGCACAGGACTTCGTCAAGGTGGGTTCTCATGTTGACAGTTACCAAACATTATCAACAGAACATATTAATGCGCAGCAGGGGCAGTACTGTGGTAGTTATCACCCTCGCAGTCGTAGGCAGCGGCAACAGCCATAGCAGCGGCAGCAGCAGCGGCAGCAGCAGCGGCAGCAGCAGCAGCAGCAGCAGCAGCAGCAGCGATCTCAGTTGCAGCAGTGGCAGCGGTTGCGGTGTCCGCAGCAGCAGGAGGAGTAGCAGCAGTAGTAGTTTTTCTCGTAGTAATAGGAGGTGTAGCAGTAGGAGGAGTAGTAGAAGAAGGGGGAGTAGTAATGGGAGGAGAGCGAGGAGAGCCGTACAAGGGGAGCAGTGGTAGATGCATCTGGGTATAGACGTAATTCTATTGCAGTTTTGACCATGGTTCCCTCCCGCTTCGCAGTCGCTGATGGAGATGAAGCCTGAAGAGCGTTTGGATGCTGCAGGCGCCTTGTCCCACGTGGTGCTTAGTGCTACAGTCCTTGTTCATGAAGGAAAATCAGGCATGCCTTCACATTACGAGTATGTCAATCATTCCCTTGCTTCATTCAGAACCTGAGCGTTGCAATAATGTGCAGAAGCGCGGTTGCATTGGCTTTTGTGTGAGGTGAGCTCTTGGTCTGGAATGAGTGAGAACATAGCCCCTGTCATCTAGGGATAGCAATGTTCATCTTCAAGTTTGACACCATGCCATTCTATGCATGTATTGAGTTTGGC